TCTTCTTTGTACCGTACTTGTAGTCAAAGTTGAGATCTTGGGCATCAGGCCGATAGTTCTCAATCCAGTTATTGGCACCCTCCCAATTCTCGTGAGCGAAAACCTGCGAAACAAATGGCTCAGATTGAGGAGCATTCACTAGTGGAAGTCTCACGTTGTTGCCCCAAGTTGTGGTAGTGTTACGCAGTTGACCGGGATCATGCCCGAGCGCAGATTCAGATGGGTCATTTGCGAGAGGCAAGGTGTGCCAACCGAGAGGACTAGCCAGTCTATCGTAGCCAGATTCAACCGAAGGAACACCTTCAGATGGGTCGTTGATGCCCCATCGCCAGACAGTGTATTTTGGCACGAGGGACGGTTTAGGCTCGGGAATCGGCGCATCGGATGTCCAGTCAACGACGGTGTGGATATGCGAAGGGTGAGAGACATCTATGTAGGCCTCATACCAATTATCTTGCATTTCGATTTCGAATTTCCATGTCAGGGTGAGCTGAGTATCCTCTAAATTGGGAGACTGGACATATACGAGCTTGGCTTTGACGGGATTCACGGCACCAGGGACATTCCTAACTTCCACAGTAGGGTAGTGGCTGGCACCCACGAGGTGGGACGTGAAAACAAGGTCCATCTTCTTCACAAGCTCATCGAAATTGTTTAGCAATGACTCAGCATATTCAGGAGATGGATGAGCGGCAATCATGAAGTGTAACAACGCCTTCTGTGGCTCATTGGAGCCCTCCTGCGACAAGTCCGACTTGGCGAGCGACATCAAACGAGCCTTGTCGATAGTGGAAATCGTGTTGCAGTTGACATGTCCCGACTTGGAAGACAAGGTGTCGTGACCAATAACGAGCTGTTCGTTCCAGTTCGGCTCTTCAACGGATCCCGAGTTATGAGCACAGAAGACGCCGTGAAAATCCTCAGCAGGCTCCCGGTTGTAGAAGTCCTCAGAAGTTTTCCCGCGGAAAAACTGGTCACAAGAACGGTTCAATATTGATCTCGATCCTCAAAAAGCAAACATACCGAGTCGCTGTACGAAATGACCTCGCCATCCATAATATTGAGATTTATATTTCCATCAGCCACTTCAACACCGTTCCACAGTTGGCGAACATAGATATGGGAAACCCCTGTTCGTTCATCCGTGTACGAATCATCTCGAATAACATAGTCCAAGCCCTCGACATTGGGACTGCCAGGACGGGCAGCCTGGATAGAGGTGAGGAAATTAACCGCTACATCCCTCGGGGTCGTCAAGGGGACGAAGCTTGGGACGCGGGCGGGATTCGTGACAAACTTAACGAGGGGATTCTTTGGCCCAAAGCCCAAGGATTTACGACTTGATGGCTGATGGGCTAGAGCTGTGGCTGCAAGGGCCAGTACGAGAGACTTCATGCCCCTAAACACCGGAAGGAGACGGGGAACACGCAAGTGCGATTCGCATTGATAAAGTACGCCATACTCATCACGTGGGCGTGTTTTGGAAGAATTCATTTTGTCTCATTTATCCAATTCAACGGTATCGTCTCTGGCTAAGCCGGCTGCCAAAGAAGGAAACCCACAAAATCGATGTCTTGTGCCATCGAACACCGCGTCTACCAAGAGGCACGCCTCCATCTACGGTCCGCGCATGTAGCTTCACGCACCTATCTAGATGCCCAATTGCTACTGTACTGGCACGATAACGACCGAGTTTGGAGCGTCACAATGCGTAACACAACCCCTATGCCCGGGTGACGGGTTTTCAGGCTTATGTCCGGGTGAATTTGATCATGGTTGAGACGGGGAAGATGGATAAGAAATCTGAAGCAGGAGATGGAGAGGTACCACTTTTGGCAGTCTATTAGCTAAATTTAGAAATTGGAATTGTGAACAGCAATCAATTTTACCGCGTGATATTGGACCGGACTCTGAGCACATATTCATCTGCTACCATAGATCGAAACATAGGGGGAGGATAGCCCTCTCACAAGTTTCACGCGCTCGCGCTCAGGCTCTCGCTACCCGCACTAGGAGCACATGCTCCATCTCTGCTTTTCTTCGCCAACTTTTGCCTATAAAGAAAAGGTACCAAGCCGAAAGGAGTGGTGAAAGAGGCGAAAGGACCCTACGCACTCGCGATGAGGCTAGGTACAGAGGTAAAATAAGACTTGCGCAGGCGCCCCAAAAGGTAGTAGCGTCAGTGGTAAGTGAGTGCATTGGATCTTGCTTCATCTACACCCACGTCAGTTGCTTGCGCTGTGCTCTAATGTAAGCTTACCAGAACTATCAGCGCAAACGCAATGACAAGAGAACGTCTGACAAGACCCAATCATGGATATATAATTCCAAGACTATGTCAAGCCCAGAATCGACCCATTTTGTGGTTTGAGTCGAAATCGCATGGAATTGAGGTTTATACGTCCCTTGGCGCCGGGGAAACCGAACGCGATCAGTTGTCAGTTACCTTGATATGATAACTGGGGAAACATTGCAAATGGATTTGGGGATGAACAAACCACATGCCTTGGCAATATAGGCATGGGTACAAGCGAAAAAAGTGCAAGAGTAGATCATTCGTTGCTGCTAGCATATCGGCAGTACATAGTATGTGTTACAAATGAGCCTCGTCCCTTCCTCAGGTTGGCGAAAGAGTTCACCACTACATAATCAGGAGCGGTCATATCAAGGCGGAGGCAGCCTGGCCTTCATTTGCCCAGCATGAATTCCGCTGGAGTATTGATCATGATAACGATTTGTTGAACTGCCAATAGCTTCACGACGAGCCATGAGACTAGAGCCGCGATCACCCATGGATCGGGTCATATGCTGCTCCATGGATCCCAGACCATCCTGGGTAACGCATCTAGGGCTGACTGCAAGTCATGTGAAGGGCCCCGATGGATTGGAGTGTTCCAGGCGCCCAAGGTGCAGTAGGGAGAGGGGTGGCAAGAGTCACCATAACAACGCAACATCCTCGTGCGTTCCTTCGAAGAGTATAGGTGTGAAGAAAGCAGTGTGTTTGAGGACGGCTAATAGTTTCATGGACATTACCCGTGTATCGGGTTGCTCATATGTGGCTCCTGAATTCCAGAATGTGGATGGGTTGGAGTATTCCAGGCGCCCAAGGTGCAGCAGGGAGAGGAGGCTCATACCACAACTTATATTGCACCAATGTCCGAACATCGTCAGGATGCCTGACAAGCAGGTAGAACCACCCGAGGATGCCCATGGTTGAAATGCTGCTCGAAAGGGGGGGGGGGGGTGAATAACGAGTTGGGTATCGTTAAAGCATGCCAGACCCACCAAATGGCCAGCGTGTCCAGTGGATTACGTAGGCCGGACCGTGCCGCCCCAGAGATGTTACCCATTCTTCGGGTTCGTCCGGGCGTCACATAGTGCGTAGAATTACCAGTCATGGTAAGAGGAAGCTCGGAAGTAGGCATAGTGTTAGAAAGGGCTGATCAATGAGCTATCCCATTGACCCGTTCAGCGAAGTGTTCACAGAACCAGGGATGATACCAGATGGCCAAGTTAGCCTTGTGCAAAGGGCGGTACCATGCATAACGTCCTTGGCCGCAAGAAAGGAGTACAACACCCAGCAGCTATAGCATACCGTGGCATCATTTCAGGTTAATCAGTAGGTTTACACTACAGCTTTTGACCGCAACAATAAATCAGCAACAATCGAGAGGTATCGCAGGCCTCACTAGCCTTGCCACCTCTCAGACCAGTAGTCATTCATTGTGGATTTGACAACTAGTTCCGGGAGTGAGGTGATCCCACTGATGTGTGATATTCCTGCTGCACAAATATGGAAAACCGAAAGCATGCAGAATGCTTGCTCATGCGAAACAGGTAAGGATTGTGATCAAAGAATAAAGTATCCAGAAATATGATCAGGTCCTGTAGAATGACAGCGAGCTTGCGCAAAATCCAGCGACGGGTTGCGGGTTGTCTGTTCGCCTGCTAAGGAAGTGGCCAGAAGGAGAGTACCGCTTCGGACGCGTTTAACCTAGGCCGTCATCGTATCAATGTTTCTTGATCTTGTGGCCAGTCCCTTCAGGTCATAGGAAGTGCTCATCCAGATGCTTGAGCTCGCTGCGCTAAGTTCGGTCCTGAAAGCATACTTCACGGAATCAAGGCCCAGAGACATGCGACAGAGTTTTTCTTGACCGATAATGCAATACAATTGGGGGCCGAAGAAGGTCTCCTATTTGGTCATGGCGATTTTACGAGCCTCGGTGAAGAAAAGAAGCTAGTTAAGCTCGCGGAGGTCGAGGCCGAGCGAAGATCTCTAAATAGAAAAACTAATAACCATCTCCTGTGATCGAGACGAGGCCGCACAGAAAGCAACAGGCATGACACCGAGAAAGGCAAGAAGCTGAGTCTACCTACGATACTTCGCATTAACGACATTGCATGAAATTGGGAACAGGAAGCTCCAAAGATGGTGGCACTCTGATCGAATTCCAGGAAGAGTGAGTGACACTTCGAACCCAATTAGTGTGCGAGCGCAATTCATAAAATCGGCTATCGCGCAATAAGTTATCCAACTCCTCAAACAGGTTTGCACCGATGAGGGTGACGATTCCTCACGGAATGCTTTCAAAGACCAATTCTGGAGCAGTGTCCCGTCTCACGATGGAAGATTGACATTGACCGCATGAGCGCACTCGGAAGCGCCATGTGAGCAAACAATACGGTGTGCCATAGCTCTCACCTTGCGCGTCCCTCGGATTCTCGGAGTCTCAGTCCGCCTCTATGTGTGGGAGCCAGTCCCATGCCTCCATCACGTCCATGATCCGAATCTAGGTCGCATGCTAGTCATCATAACCAAGGGTAAAACCGCTAGGAAGGAGACAAACCAACTGTGGAGCGTGTCGTGTACGAAGCGAAGCCAATCGATGGAACCCGGCGTGGTATGTGAGTTTAGACACATGTCACGGCTAGCTGCTACGTAGACCTTTTACATGAAACATATGCGAGGCAGTAGGCCATCACATTGATAGTTGACGCAAAGCGTTCGGAGAGCTTGAATGGCTGAGCTCATGGCCCCGGCCAAACCCGCATCCACTGCCACATCGTTGGCCCTTGATGGACAGCGCTCAGTCATCCCCAAGCAATGTAGAGCGGAAAAAGCAAAGGCGACAGACAGCAGTATACCCAAATATTAATTCGACAAACAAGGTCGAGAAACCGTTCTCGAAAAGCGCAGCAAAACGGGACAGCGTCCTTGCATTAGGAAGCATAGAGCACCTGCAGCACTATTTCACCAAAACAGGTCTTTCTGCTTCCAAGAAGTGAGCAATAACTGTCGGTGTAAGCTTTGACGCGTATTGAACGCGCTTTGAACAGACCTCTGAGCGGGAAAGGGCCCTTCGTGCCGGCACTGGGCCCTTTGGCGATCCCGCAAGATCAACCTTCTGTCCCAACTCTCATTTTCGATTTACCACCTTCTCCGGAACTCCCTAAGAGCACTGTATCACATGCCCCTCCATCCGTGGATCCGACACCCTTTATCGACGTGGACGCGTTGAAAGCAACGGCCATTCAGGATCTTGAAGATGTCCAGACCTGCTGGTCGTTGTCCCCCACAGGGTCATCTGCACTAGGCTTACAAACAATGAAATTCCTCGACCCGTTTAGTCCCTCTGCGCCGTCAAACCACCTCAATATCCTCGACCTCCTGAAGGTCACCACGCGTGCCATTCGATCAGTTCGAAATTACATGCTAGCATTACCTGAAGACGATCCATCACTTAAATTCAGACCACACGTTGTAGACGCTTTCCGGAACCAGCCACACCAGAAAGTGAAATACGCATCATTACGCGTAGTTTCACCCAAGAAATCAACCAAATCACTTCACCATATCACGACTCAAGCCCCACCCCCTCAGGTCCTCACAGTCCCCTTACCTCCATCAACTCTCACCCTTATCAGGAAATCTGCTTTGGACGTCCTGGGTGCCCTTCGGGATATCGAAGAGCGATGTCGTTTGCCAATGTCAGATGACCCGTTCGAGATGACCGGTTCGGGTGTTGGAAATCGAAGGATATCACAAAGTCCGACGCCATTCCTTACCGAACGGACCGCGAGCCCATCCACGCATTCAGCTGACGACGACGTGAGCGAACTTGGAGGAGGGACGGCAGTTTCCTCGTCCACATCGTGGTCTTCTCCACGTGGTGGACGGAGGGCCACCAAGTCACCCAGTCGCCCCGATGTCGTGCCTTTAATCGTTCAAGGTAGAAATAAAGCAGTGCACGTATGGGCTGATCCGAGCGATGATGAATGGGAGGATGACGTCGATGAGGATTCCAAGCGGGACCCATGGGATGAGAGGCTTGTGCTAGGAGGTGGATGGTTATACCGGAACGACGTTGATCTGGCCAGTTTAGGAAAGGAGAAGGAAATCGTAAACCAATACCTGGACGTCGTAGACGAGATACTGTTCGGAGGCGCAAGCGGAGTGCCAGGCCAACGAGGCTGGGTCCGTGCCAAGATAGAAATTGCAAGTGGAAGCAAGTTGAACAAGAGAACTGGACGGCCCAGCTTCGGTGGGGTGGGAGGTTCTCCACGAAAAACCGACGAGAAGAGACTAGTTAGTCATCGTCTGCTCCATGCCATGAACGACCTTGCCTCCGTCAAAGAGACTGAAGACACGGATGATGCGGCTATAGAGGAGGAAGAGGAAGAGGAAGAGGAAATACCGGACAATGAGCTGCCTGACTGGGCAAAGCGGTCAAAATTCCATCACGAGCCTTTGAGTCGTCTTTTAAGTTTCCTCATATCCTACCTTCCACCAGACCTTCTTTCATTCCTCCCCTTTCCACCCACCCCACCTTCCTCTCCCCCTGCTTCCCCGTCTTCCGCTCATAGGAAGTTCCGATCCAAGCTCCTTGATGTTCTTTCTGATGGTCAGATCATTTGTACAGCTTACAATGGTGCAGTCAGAAAGAGTAAGAGGCCCTGGGGGTTCATTCAGCTTGAGACGGTGCATGACTTGTTGGAGCTGACGGAGGATTCCGATGTGGAGGAAGAGAAGGACCCCATGAGCCTTGGATCTGGCATGCAGACTAAGGGCAAAACAACATGGACGTTTAGAAGAACGGAAAATCTCCGTTTTTGGGCTGCGTGAGTCCAACCTCGTTCTCTTGGTTTGCTACCTCCTATTCTGATCTTTTGGGCATTGTAATGAAACGAAACAGTGCCGTGGGTCTCAGGTACATGATACCATTTACCGACTCGCCACTTGCTGAGGATGGCTCAGCCAAACGTCTAAAGTTGCCTCGCACATTCATTGATCCCATACTATCACCCCCCATTTTCTTCGATCCCAGAGTCCCAGCGAGACGGGAAGAAGGTTGGGAAGACATGTTGGAACGTGCTCTTTTTCGATGGTTGGATGCTGTCCTTCTGGAGACCCGATCTCCTTGAGCCCGTGACTAGAATAAAATCTCACCAGCTTGATACCCCATTCCTCTGCACTGCTCTTTGGCCTTCGTTTGATTCATGATGAAAATCTTATATTGCATTTTTTGGATAATTATGGTGCCCTTTTTTTTACATTCACTTGATTTTATCCAAACGTACGTATAGTGATAATATTCCTGCATTACCTTGGAGACTGCGGTATGGTTGACTGAGGAGAGAAGTTCCAGAGCTTGATAGTAGGATCATGAACTATAATTCCATTGTTCTCAAGTTCCTCATCGAGGCCAGAGTCACTCCCAGAGTCGGATGTCATATCTGTAGTACTAGCTGGCCTGGAAGGGGGTAACGCTGGAGATGTAACGTCGAAATGTCGCGAGCCTGATACCGTTAACGCCAAGGATTGAATAGGATGGAATGACACGGATCCAATAGCATCTGCAGCATGTGTCAAAAATCAATCTGCGCAAACGTTCCGTTCTACTCACCATTGTGAGCCCTGAACTTCAAAACAGGTTCAGTATTGAAACTTAATCCATTGGATACGTCAAATATGGAGAGCCAACCAGCCTAACGAGGAAACAAGTTAGCAAGAAAATCACTATGCACGATCTATAGAAAAAAAGAAAAAGAAAAGACAACACAATACCTCATCGCCAGCTGCAAGCCACTTTCCCCCCAAATCCACATCGGACTTCAACCTCTGATTCGTCAGCTTCCCTTCACTCGTCCACCGATCCAACTCCGCAGCAACGCATAACGGATTTCCACTTGAACGACGGGACTTCTCCTAGACGCGAACAAGATGTGCGGCTGAGTAGGGTGGAAAAGGAGTTGGGTGACGCCACCTTGTCGTACGTCCCCTAGGAAATGAGTGAGCGTACCGCTTTCGCCTACTTCTGGATCGAATAAGGCAATAGCGTTGGGTGTTGTGGAGTAAGTTGCAGCAGCGTAGAGACCACTGTAATCGGAACAGAAGGATATAGCTGAGATGATGCCTTTATATGGATGGATAAACGTTGCGTTAACAACCGTGTTGTTTTTTTTTGCTTGCATAGAACTCTTTGATCCATACCTTTCAAGCCGTCACGACTCTTCTTTGATGGGGTGGTAGCGAGACGAACGCCATCCCCAGGTTGCTAAAGGTCAAATATTTCGATAAAGTCGACGCAGCCGCAGTATAACCTTAAAAATTAGATTAGGCATTAGAGAGTCCCCTTCCCGCCCCCCAAATGGACCCACGGAGTGAATGACTTTTTGTGACGAACAAGCAACATACTTTGTCATCGTAGGATCGAATGCCATACTGTGAGGCGCGACGAAGCGTTCACGGTGACCCACGATTCGATACGAAGCTCGTAACTACTAATCCGGAAGGGGGGGATTCGAGTAAGTGCTGAGTTTTCCGCGATGGTAACACATTCCGGGGGGGGACAGAAAAAAGAATCGATATACGAGGCGTCAAGAAGTTTCACGGGGCAGTTCCGAACGGACGCCACGAAGCAGAAGGTTTCGGGGCTTCGATGCTCCTGGGTACCATACTCCATCCAGAACGGGAGCCGGTTGGGGAAGAGTACATGGTGTATCTGCGATGATAATTTTCAAAAATAAGGAATAGGGTAAAGAAAGAAAGGAGAAGATAGTCGAACCTAATGAAGTCACTCCATCGGTGGGGATGGTGGCCAACCAAAAGGCGTACCACTTTGCTGATCGATAAAAGTTCGGAGGGGCTGCTGCCAGTGCCAGTGCTGCTGGGGCTCTCAAAGCACTGTCGGCTTGTGCTAGGCAGGATCCGTAGAGGCTGGGACCCGACTGACCCTCTTGAATAGAGGTCAGATATGGAAATGCCGAGTAAGGGAAAGTTGAATAGTGTTCAAAAATGGAAGTGCCTCATAAGGGAATATGCATCAGACAACCAATAGAGCTGGCCATTCCATTTAGTTTTTTTGTATTGTACATGTAGCCGGTATGACTCAGCACTTTCTCTTGTATTGTTCCCGCTACTCTGTAGCGGGTCTTGAAAGCGTGAACTGAATGCCCGTGTAAGAGGTCCTCTATTATTGCAAATTACCTGGTTAACCCAGGGTCCATCATTTGTATTCCAAAATCAAGCTAAGTTCCCGCGTTTGGTTTGTAAGTAGTTGCGCAACCTGCTGTCAAGGGCCCCTTCCGATTCACGTGCCCTTTCAACTCCCATTGACAGCCGCCACCATCACAATCGAACGCGTTTTGAAAAACCACGCTCTACACCCTCTCAGACTCGTTAACTGCCCTTCAGCCTCGCGATAACCAACGGCTATGAACCGTAGCTCCAGACAGACACCAGGAAATGAACACAAACCCCCAATCGGGGCAGCCCTGACCCCGATCCCCCTGCTGGCAACAGACGACAGTCGCACCCACCTTCAATCAACATACAACGACGCATCCGATTGCGTTTGCAGAAAGGAGTTCTTCACCAATGTCTCCGAGCCCAGAAATGCAAGATGACAACAGGGGTGAACAAGTCAAACCTTCCGCAGCCACCTTCTCCCTTGTCCCCCAACCCTCCGGCTGTCAACCTCGATCATAAACATACCGACATCACGTGGTACTCCGTCACGAAAGGTTGTCCCACAGAGTTCGCTGGGTGCAGGGACATTGAATGATGCTGCCTTCAATAGGGCACGCGCTTACAAAATAGCCTGGAGTGTCGCGGACAAGGAAATCACGCCTATTGTCCAAGCAGCCATTGAAGTTAGCTACCACCCTGCTCCATTCCACGACTGCATAAACCTAATAAGGCAGACTACACTCACCCCCGCTCCTACAGACCTATACATCGATCTGCAGAAGACAACACCCTCTCAGCCATCCACGATATGGAGGCAGCACTCAACCACAAACTTATGGCTACTTCACTCACTTTTGACATAACAGGTTTCTTTGATTTTGTCTCGCACCCACATCTGCTCAACACTTTGCATGATAAAAATCCTATAGTCAGATGGGTGACTTCCTTCCTCAGCGACTGCCACACTGCCCTCGTCCTAGCCGCATATTTCTCTGCCCCTCTGATTGTGACATCCTTTGTGTCTGTAGTGCTGTATTCCACGTTGACAACGGTGAAAAACCATTTGAGAAACATCCATTCTGCCCCTGAATTAAGTCTCTGTTGTATGCATCCAAATACATATCTTAGCAAGTGAAAAGAGTGGTGGGTTCTGCCGTGTCAGGTGGCGATCACCAGTTATACATGAAGTTGGTATGACTCAGCATTTTTCGTCTACTTCTTTTGTATTACTGTACACATAATTATGGTGACTAATGAACTTCAACAACTTCTTCAATTCACACTCCCTGGATTTGCCAACAAACCGATGACCCAAACCCTGACAGCACCAAACAGCACCTAAGTATCAGCATGCCTCCCAAATATGACCCTTTCATTATCTGTTATCCCACCCAACCCCGACCTGATTGCAATCCGGTCCAACTTCCATCAAAGAGAAAACTGTCTTCTGCCTCAGGTCAAGAGTTCAGGCAGCCACTCAATGACCATGACAATCCTTCTCCCAAATGGCCCTGTATTATACCGAGTGTCCACTCAGGATCTGCTTCTCCATTTCCACTCTCCAACAAATCCTTACATGTATCTCAGCAATGCTGCCCAGCACCCATATGTCAGGGACACGTCTGGGGTCGAGGGGGCCCGGGTATAGCGCCCGGTGCTGAAGACCTTGCGGGGGGTAGATCGGGCATGCATGCTGGCAGGCCCGATAAGGGACAGCTGTCCCTGGCCACTCACACTGAAGTGGAAAAGGTGAATTGTTATTGAAAAGGGAAACTACACTAACTTACCTGAAGTGGAAAAGGTGAGAAGAAGGTTACTTCTTCGGTTCCCACTTCAGGTACATTTATGTACATGCGGCTTGAGTCACATGACAGATGCCACGTCATCCTTGGAGACAGCCGCAGCCATCCAGGTGTCCCCACGGGGGATCCCGAGGGTATCTGGTGCAGGTGCGTGTGCTGGGCACAGCGGGGAGCCGTCCAGGGAGTCTGGGTCGGGCAGGTCAATGGTACATTGATGCAAAGGAAAGTGGTCCGTGTAAATAGAAGGAATAAACAGGAGGGGAATGATGGGAAGAATGAAATAAAGAAAAGGGAAAAGAGAGAGAAGAGAGAAAGAAAGAAAGAAGGAGGAGGGAAGGAGGGAGGGAAAGGATGGGGAGCAGGGTAGCAGGTGAGGTGTGGCCGGGTGGACCCGGGTGGGCTCGGGTCAGGTGGGTGTGCCCTGACATCACCCCCTCCTTAAGCCGCTTTGCCTCGAAGCGGCTAGGCGACTCTCTCTCTCTCTGCCTGGGGCATGGGGGTGTGCCTGATGGAACTCCTCGATCTGGTCAGGGGCGTGGGTCAGTTGGTCATGGGGGAGGCATTGGTTTTCTGAGTTGGGCCAGCCCACAAACTTCACCAGGTACAGGAGTTTTCAGCGCAGCCATTTAGAGTCCAATACTTTCTCGACCTCATATTCTTCCTCTCCATCTACCAGCTCTGGGCCTGGGCGGGGGTCAGCGGGTTGTTCTGTGACTTTGTCTGGGCGGTATGGTCTGACGTTCGTCACGGATATGACTGGGTGGATCCCCTTCTGTCGTGCGGTGAGTTGGAGTTTGAGGGCGGTGGGGGAGACGACCTTGGTGATTTTGAAGGGGCCCAGCCACTTATGGTCCAGCTTTTTGGTTGGGCGGTTGGTTGTGTAGTTCTGGGTGCTGAGCCATACTTGGTCGCCCTCCCGGTATTTGGGGGCTGTCTCACGGCCCTGGTCGTAGTAGCGGGCCATCTCATCTGCTGCGTGCTCTAGTGCTGCCTTTGCTTCCTCCTGCATCTTCATCATCCTTGATGAGAAGGTGTCGGCAGCCTCTACCTCGGACGTGCGTGTGGGTTCTGTCCCCATCCTGGGGTGCTGCCCGGTGTCTAGTTTGAAGGGGGTCCGGTGGGTGGAAGAGTGGACGCAGTTGTTGTAAGCAAACTCTGCTAATGGGAGCCAGTCCGCCCAGTCATCTTGGTGGTGGTTGACAAACACCCAGAGGTAGGCCTCAATTTCCTGGTTGACCCACTCCATCTGTCCGTCCGTCTGGGGGTGGTAGGGCGTCGAGGGAGTTAGCTTGACTCCCAGGAGGTCTGCAAGTTCTCTTGAGAAACGTGAGACGAAGGTGCTTCCTCTGTTGCTGAGGATCTCCTCAGGGAGCCCGTGGTGTTTCCAGACGTGCTCTAAGAAGAGCTGTGCGATACCCGCTGAGTCCACTGACGTTACAGTGGGGACCGCGTGGATGTGTTTGGATAGGCAGTCTACTACGACCAGGATGGTGTTATAGCCTTTCGACTCTGGGAGCTCCCCCACCATGTCCACCAAAATTACCTGCCAGCGATGGGTGGGGACCTTGTTTGGGGTGAGCTTCCCAACCTTCCGTGCAGGGAAGGGTTTGACACGGTTGCAGGTGTCGCATCCACGTACATATCGCCTGACATACTCTGCCATCTGGGGCCACCTGTTAGAATGGGTGGATTCAGATGACTCCGGAGTGGAATCGGAGACTTAGCGTGGAGGGACCTTGGCCTCAGCGACTCAAGCAGAGCGCTGTGCCATTGCTGTTTGTCCATTTGGTCCTTAATTTCACAGTAGGTGAGCAGGAAGTCTCTAGGGGGCATTTCAGGTCGATTTCGGACTGAGGTTACAAGTTACTAGGTACATTGTATATAAGGAGGGGTCCGGAATCAAAAGGAACAAGGGTAGGACAACAGGAGACAAAGGGAGATGGAAAGAGGAACAACACCGAGGGTCAAGTGTTTGACTCAATGGTGTTTCCCAAAGGAGGAATGAAGGGCCAAGGCCCAAGGAGGAAGGAAGGAGGATGGGAGTCGGGAATGGCTAGCTGACTGAATAGAAAGGAAGCAGCAGCCCAAATAGGAATGAGGGAGAATAGCAGAATTGAAATGGACAATGCAATAGTTGCAAGGTCTGGAGTAAGTCCGGAAAGTCCGAATTCGGAGGTTAAACTCCGGAATATTGGCAAAGGTAATTAAATGGAATGAGCTAACCAATACAATGGGTATAAGCGGAGGTGGGGTCAAAGTCCGAGGTCGGAGCTAAGACCGGAGGTTCCGGAGATGGAGACGCAAACAGGATTCCGGAGCAGGGGTCCGGAGTTGGGAGCATAGGTGTTGCGTACTCATCTGGAAGGTGTCAAGGTTGGGGTCGGACCCGGAATGTTCCGGAGTCGGACTGAAGGTGGTGTCCGAGCCGGAGGTGGGATAACCTCTTGGGAGTCGGCAAGGAGAAAGTGACGGAAGGGAAGTAGGGCTCCGGAAGTTGGTTTCGGAGTTCCGGGAGCCCGGAAAGGAGGTTGGGATTGTATGGATATGACACCACCAGTAGTCATGGGAGATGAGCTCCAGGGTCTTCTATCGCCCCAGGTGCCCTGTCGCCTGCGAGTCGTGGTGTAGCTTCACCAGATCATGGCGGAGTTGCGGGTCTTTTGGGACATACACCCTACCCCGGTAGAGGACTAGCTCTCCTTGCTTCTCCCACTCGTCTG